GTCAGGTTACTTTCTGACTCTGTCAGGTTATTTTTTTGTACTGTTGCATTTGTGTTGTTTCGTTGCGTTGTTCATATTAAACTGTACTTCTGACTCAGAGTCTCTCACCGGTTTACTTTTCAAACCAGCACAAGCAGCTTTGCTTATTCACCTCCCAACATCTTTTAAACCACTGTTATTTCCCAATTGCTGCAGTTATTCCAACATGCTTCAGTTTTATCCTCTATCTAGGTTATCCCCTCAGCTTTACAAAAAACAGGAGTACTGTAGACAGTGCTGGAAAATCTATTTCCCCCCTCCACTCCATATAGCTCCATTCCCCAATATTCCACAGGACTTACCTTTTCCACATGCCGCCTTTAAAAAGAACTCACAGACAGCCGCGCCCGATTCTGGGGAGAAACAAAGAAACAGAATTCAACAAAGTTCTGTCACATCTTCAAAGATGTTTCCTGCCCTAGCAAGACAATCTGGCCCCCAACACCAAAAGCAAAGCAGCGTTTTGCTTTGGGGAAGTTACATTCCAGCACAAGTTCCTCAGTCAAGTCTGGCCCTGACAAATATCTGTTTTCTTCCTGGGGGATACACCAAGGGGAATGTGAAGAGATTTGGTGGTGCTTGTTTTGCTTGTCAGATGTTTAAGCTGTTCAGTGGGTTTTCCTCTGCTGTTAAATTAATTACGTCAATGAATCACAGAATATCCTGAGTTGGAAGGATCAGCAAAGTCCAACTCCTGAATCCTGTATTTAGAGTCCTGGCATTAACAGTCTTAAATTTTTTTAGCAGAACAGCCTGAAACAACCATCAGCATGTTACACCTTACTGATCCTGACCAACAGGAACATTCAAGGAAGTTAAAACAGAAGTGTAGTAGCCCAGGCAAAAAAAAATCATCAAACTACAAATCTCTTGAGTTTACCTGTGTCAGATTATTGGACTGACAGAAAAGGCTTAAAGGCTTGGCCATGGATATCCCTGAAGCTGATGACTCCCTGACATCTAAGTGCCTCATTTATCAAAAAGGGATGAAAAAGAAACAGCCCTGTGCAGGAGTGATGTTGATTCACTGTAACACCACAGCTTTCCTTTTCCAACCTGCCTGGCTACTAACTACAGCTTTCACTTCAACAGAAAAGAAAACACGTGGATAAGGACAGAAACCTGAGCGGGAAAGCAGAAATCGGGTGGATTTAAGGATGAGACACGAGGAAGATGCCTGGATCCTTGAACACCTCCCTCCCACCCCCCGG